AAAAGCCTTTCAAAACTATGGCAATGACTTAACTCCTGGAGAATCCTACATTTCTCCACAAAAACCAAGAAGCAGCAGAAGCACTTGTTAAATTCAACAACCCACATGAGCTTTATTAGACCGTTACATGGACAGGAATTAACGGTAACGGTGCAGCTGCAGCGTATTGCGTCTCCTCCAGGCAGCACGGCGCGAGCCACCAATGGTGTGGTGGAACTTGTGGCCCTTGCCAAGGCCACGACTCTTCCGTCCGGCTGATGTCAGCCCACGCATCTCCCTGTGCTTGTGGACGGGCTTGGTGATCCATTGGGTGTCAGGGTTGCGTCGGATGGTCTTGTGGAAGGGATCAATCAGAATCACTTCAAAAAACTTGTATGTGGAATCTTCACCAACCCAATAGGAGTTTAAGACTCTGAGAGCCCCACAGTGACGGCCAGCACGTTCCTAGAGGGAAAAATGAATGCAGGATATAAAATCATGGATGCAGAGCACTCTTCATGCAGAAAGATGAAACTCAAACCTAAAGTTTGGTAGGTGCCAGAAATTTCAATTTGCCCCAAGCAACCCTGTCTTCCTCAAAGAACTGCTCCCCTTCCAGATGCAAAGATGCAAGAAAAAGTAACAGCTGAAAGAAATGTTGTACTTAAAAAAAGGCTGACTGGATTCCTACATTAAATGGGTGTGAAATGGGTTTTAAGGTATGTAAGGAGCAAGGTGCTTGGTGGATAAAAGAGCTACTTTGTACACAGAAGCACACAATCAGTAAATATTCAGCATTAAAAGCAACTTTCACAGTAGATGGAGAGCACCAGTTGCACTTGGGGCTGCAGTCATGAAAGACTGATTAGTTTGCATATCCAAAGCTAAAGGGGAGAAAGGTGGTTCTGCAGAGAATAAGCCTACACTGACAGGAGAAAAGAAAGAGCTGATGTAACAAGTATTTGTTCCACTGCTGGCACGTTAGTGCTTGCTATTCCTATCCCTCACTTGTGGTTGGAAAAGAGGAGTCTTAAGTTTAGAAAACAGAAGAAAGCAGAAAATACCGATTATGCAACTCCATCTGCCTCCCCATCAAGAATACTCCTTACCTGAACACTAGAAGTGGGTTTAATCATACAACTTGATCATCACTGTGGGAAAATATGAACCAATGAAGCCCACCCATCTTCTATCCCAATGGGATCCCAACCTATTGCTCCAGTCTTCTGGTAAACCACACTTGCCTATTTTCTGTGTAAGTAATAAAATTCTATCAGGTCCTCGTTTTATTCTAGCAGGTGAAAGCAACACATGTATTAAACATTAAAACACCATCAAACAGCTTCTATATGGGGATGGGAGCTGCAGCGGAAGTTTTACATTTCTGTTTGAAAAACATACCTCTTCCAAAACAGAAGATGTCAGAGAACTCTGAATTAAAACTGAGACCAAATAACTTCTTCCATGAGCTACTGCCACAAGTGAGCATGTAGTTGGCTCTCGGCTACCAGAGAATAGCATACATGAAGAATATACCATGAGCACTCAAAACACAGAATTGCCTTTTTAATTTAAACTGTGTTTCCTTTAAATTAGTATGTCCCATTTCTGTTTGTTTCCCCCACTTTAGAAAACCCCACCATATTCAAACTGCTGAAGTCAGCTATGAATAATTTTGAAGACCTGGGAACAGAGACGTCTTCTGCTTAAGACAGAAAGGCCAAGAGAAGTCTTCATTCTTCCATCTCTTTTTTTGAGAGTACAGACTATTATTAATTCTAACGCCAACACTACTACTGTGGCCTTACAAAACTTATAAAGATCTCACAGAATGGAAGTTTGTGTTTGAAGTATTTTGGCAGGTAACAACATCTTGCCTAAAAACAAGTTAGCTACCAAGCTTGGTGCTTGGGAGGTACCAAAGTTTTTAATGAAGAACCAGAAGGTCTCTGGCATGCTACAGGCTTTAAGATAGGAACTCCTCTGTACTATGTAAAAGGACCACTACCTAAAGCTGGTAATACATACAGCATGGCAGAAAAGAGAGGTGGGATTTAGTGAAGAGTGAAATCAGACTTGAGCATATCTGAATTATTTCTTTAGCCTTACCCTTTTTTTACCAGGGTTTATACTGGTTGTATGTCTGTTTTTCATCAGAATTACTGTGGCAAACTTCAGAAGTAGTGTACACTATGAACTTCAATAAAACACCTACGTAGTACTTCCCCCAGACAAGATTTGTAAACAGCTTTTTCACTTGGCTCAATAGAGCTTTCCAAGGCACTCTGAGGGTTTCCTGCCATCAGCATGCAAGATCTTTTACGAGTTACTTGGGTTTTGGTTTGGGTTTCTTTTCTGTCTCTGAGTATTTTCAGCTTTTACAGACCAAGACCTTCCTAAAGCCAAGTGTTTGGGCAATAACCAAAATAGTCACCTCTGCTACAGACTGAAGACTCCGGGCAAACTTCAGCTGGTTAACACCATGATGCACAGGTTTACCGTAGGTTGCACCTTTCGGGACTGGGCGTTTACGACCACCACGGCGAACACGGACACGGTAGATAACATACCCTAAAAGAAATTATAACTTAGGAACTAGAGGAATTCTGGAGTGTAGCAATTTTGACGACCATACAGTATTTCCAACCCCCAAAACTTGACATGAAATGCTGCAGAATTAGGTCACTATACCAGTCTGCACCAAAACCTACAACTGGAGGTGGCCATCACAAAATGGTTTTGTTATTTCCATTACAACTGAGTAAGGGAAGTGATGTCCTGTTTGTTGCAACTGTTCTTCAGCTTCAAACCAGAGCTTAGGGCACCTTTTAATGATACACTTCCACATACGCTAAGAACAGCTACAGCTACATTGTAACACAAAAAACCATCCCACCCCAAAACACTCAAAGAAACAACCACCCGGAACACAACAGCCCATATTCTGATGGTAGCAAGTACAAGCCATCCACAAGCCTTGCTGAAATCTCCTCACTAAAAATTAGGAAGATCATTTTGAAACTTTACAATCAGTAACAGAAGTGTAGATTCTTCTCTTTCTGTTTTTATACTGAACATTTCAAACTGTTTCAAGGATTTCATAGAATCATGGAGTGGTTTGGGTTGGAAGGGTTCTTAAAAGCTCAGCTACTTCCAGCCCCTAGCCATGGGCAGAGACACCTTCCAGTAGACCAGACTGCTCCAAGCCCTGTCCAATCTGGCTTTGAACACTGCCAGGGCAGGGCAGCCACAGCTTTGATGGGCAGCCTGTGCCAGAGCCTCACCACCCTCACAGAGAAGAGTTTATTCCTAATACCTTATCTAAATCTACCCTCAAGTTACAGACAGAAGGCCATTTTCCCCAATTTTCTCTCATTGACCAGTAACTGCTCATCGTCTTGCTTACTCAAGCACATGCAGCTGTAATACAGTCAGAGTAATGCATGACAAAACCTGGGCAGAGAAAGAACACCCCTCAAACTGAAGGTACCAAAAGCACCAGTCAACTCTGCACCAGTAACACAGCACACAAACAAAGCCAAATCCCACTTGATCTCCATCTATCAAAACAGCCACAGAAGATGTGAATTCAAAGCTACATGAAGTAATGTTTTAAGCTGTGGTCACTGCTATCAATTTAACACATTTATAACATTAAGTTCACTTTATGCAGGACACCCGTTTCTTGGGGAGTATTTCAGCTGTCACTTAAGGAAGGAAGAAAACTGACATAAAACCAGTCCACTCCATCATGAAGCCCATAGACTTGACCTCTACATCTCATTACCTTGCTTGGCCTTATATCCCAGCCTGCGAGCTTTGTCTGGTCGGGTGGGCCGGGGAGCTCGATGCAACGCAGAGAGCTGGCGGTACTGCCAACAGCGGACACGCAGGAGGAACCGCATCACATCTGACTGCTTTTTCCTCCATAATTCCTGGATGTACTTGTAGGCACCCATGTTCGTCTACCTGCTGAATGGAGAGGTCAATAAGTAACATGCACCACATCCAAATGTGAACTGCTGCCAAGAGGAACACTGCATGAAACCATATATGCAGAACCACTGAAATGGGATGCTCTCAAGCTTCTTTATACCACTGCCATGTCTGCTACCATGGCTCACACATGGCTAGTCTCCAACATGACATGGGGCTTTTTCTTCCTTTTCATATGTTCTTAAGCATTAAAGTCCACAGCTGAGAAATTCTGAGATGTGTATGTGAGAATCTAGTTAACATCTGAAACAAGTTGTAAATATCTATAAGGAAGCACGAGTGTGAGTCGTGTGGTCTTTATTCTCACATGGGTTAATTGCCCCTAAAAACATTTGAGCTCTCATACAGCTGCAGTAACCAGCAACTGGAAGTGAACTCCATCAAATCCCTCTCACCCCCCAAGTCACCATCAGCAAAAGGCAACTCACTTCTGCGCACAAAAAAAGGCCCGTTCACGTGTGATTTTCCACACCCCTATTCTCCCTACCTGCCCAGCTACGGCCCAGCTCTTCCCGCCCCAAGCAACTCCATCTTTACGATTACACTGACACAGAACACGTCAAACCCGGAGTCAACCCAGACCGTACAACCTCTAACCACCCGCTGCGCTGCGGTGCTCGGCCTCCTGCTCACACCAGCCAGCGCTGCGGCCGCTCTCCCCGCCCCACACCGCGGGCAGCCAGCCCGCCGCGACACGGCGCAGTCCACAGGCCCTTCGTAGGCCTCCCTGCACCCGCGGGCTGCAGAGAGCCCCTTGCCACGGGAGCAGCCACGTCGCAGCCCGCCGTGGCGGCAGTGGGGCGGGAGGATGGGCACGTCCGGCCCGGGATAGAAGCGGATTGACGGAAAGGCCAAGCTCAAATCTACCCTCACCTGATGGCGCCCACCACCGGAAAGGAAGAAGCCTCTTGCCCACAACCCCTTGCGGCGGCATCAGGCTTCCGGCCGCGGCCGCGATGCCTCATGGGTAGCGTAGTCCTGAAGTGGGAGAACCGCCGGGCCACTCTCCTCGTCCCGTTCCGCCCCGCCCCGCCCCGGCCGGGCCCGGCCCCCGCGCCTGCCAATGGGCGGCAGAGGCGGGACTGGTCCCGGCTCCTTGGGGTCCCGAGGGAAGCTGTGCCCAGGTGCGCGGGGGGGAGGTGGGAGACACGTCATACAGTTAAATTATAACGGGGGAGAGGGAACTAAAACAGCCCTAAAGCCTTTGGGGTAGGTGGGGAGGGAGCTAGCCGCCGGTGCCGCAGGCCTCAGGGGCTCTGCGGCAAGGGCTCTGTGACAAGGGCTCTGTGACAAGGGCTCTGTGACAAGGTGAGCGTCTGCCGCGCTGGGGTCGGGGCCCTGGCTCTGCCCGTTCCTGTTGTGCTCCCGTTTCTCCAGCGTATCGAGCGTTTCTGTGCCTCCCCTCTCCCCCGGCACTAGCAGAAGTGAATTGTCAGGCCCAGGGAAGGGGCCTGGTGCCGAGGGGACTTTGTCCCGCTTTTGCAGCATCCTCAGTGTTCTGCTATGGAGGTAGTGGGGAATCAAAGCTGGAATTAGGCTTTCCCTGACTGAAAGTGTCTCCTGCTTTGCGGTAGGCTGACCTCTCTATCTTTTGGTGTATGTTTTGCAGGGCACCCTGGCTTGTGAAGCATCACCCGGCTAACCTGGAATTGAAGCAGGACAGAGCCAGCCCCTCCTAGTCCTAACAAGGTACTCTGCAGCTGTGTCTGGGGCAAACCGCTTTGAGCAACAAACTCGGAGCTAGGGCCCATGGCCGGCTTCTGGAGGCCTCCTGCTAGAACCAACCCCCACGCATCCAAACTGACTTAAAGCAGATGAAAGCCCTGCTTTTGCATTTGCTTTTCTGTGTTTCTGCCTTTAACACTTCTGTTTTCGAGCTCATAGCCTGTAAAAGCTAGAATCTTTCTATGTATGAAATAAAAGGGAAGATACTGCTGTTTTGCTTCAGTTACAGAAGCCATCCTGATACCACCAGGTACCATCAGGCCCACTGCAAACCCATGAAGCCAGCGTTGCAGGCCTTGCAGCATGCACACACCAACAAACACAGGCCTTGCCCCAGAGGGATAACACAGCTTCAGTCTCCCCAGGCCTGATGGGACAAGTGTTGAGGCTGCGGGCAAGCATCATCAGCAATATGGCAGCAGCCTAAAACCTGAGAAAACAGTGTGGGAGGAAACTCTAGTCCTAAAAATACCAGCTCGGGGGGAGAGGGGGGGAGCTGTGACTCCCAGCAGCCGCTGCTTCCCACTTTGCCTCTCACCTTTTGTGGGCTTCATTTGTGCCTGGTGCCAGGCTCACAGACTCCTGTGTCTGCACAGGGCTCGCCTGCTGACTCTGCCCTCTTGGGAAAGATGGGAAAGGGCTACAAGGTGGTGGTGTGTGGAATGGCCTCGGTGGGAAAGACTGCGATTTTGGAGCAGCTTCTCTATGGAAAGCACACTATTGGTGAGGTTTTTTTTTGCTTTGTTTTGCTTCCTTTTCCAGCATCTTGCTCTGTGTGGTTCCCAAAAACACAGTAAAGGAGGACTGCAAACTGCACCGGGTGAAGTAGGAAATAAACGTGTATTTGTTGCATCTCTGGGCAGTTTTTGAAATTCATAGAACCCTTATTTACCCATTTTTAAACAAGGCTTGGAGAAGAACCTTTTTTGTGGTGTTCCCGGTTAGAAAATACGTGAATGCTTAGAAAGAAACAAACAGAAAAGTAGGTGATGTGCTTGCTGCCTGTTTACATAAGAAATATCTCATTCCGTGCAAGATGCTGTAGATGCCTGAAAAGTAAATAGATGTCATCTGATGAGTTAAGGGACTGTTCAGACTTTTATTTAGTCTTCTTAAAGCTTTATTTTGTTTGGGTTTGGCTGATATTTAATCAAAGTGCTGGAAAGAAAACCAGTTCAGCTGTAGGTCCCACATTGTGTGTTGAACTTCAAGGGCCAAGCTTGGAGTTCTGAAATAAATCCTCCCATGGAAAAGGGCCTTGGGAGAGGAGCATGGGGTGTGTGAAGACTTGCTGTGCACAAAAGAAAGGTAATGAAGGCAAAGCCATCTTGTTTCCCTCTGTTTTCACATGATTTGTCTAAGAGAGGAAGCACAATGATCAGCAGGCTGGCAAAATACTCCTGCCTCAACTAGGAACAGGTGTTGGCACCAGGGGAGAATCTTAGGGCTTTGACAGAAGATGGCTAGTCAGTTTGTATCTTTTCCTTGGGCTGGTAAGTGAAGTGGACTTGGAATGAGTTATTGGATAAACACTAGGGTTTCTAGAATGGTGCTTTGCAGTCACTGTGCCTTTAAAATATGTGGATGGGAGGAATTTGCTGGCAAAGCGTGATACAGAACTGCGTGCTCATGCATTGGTTTCAAAGGATTTCCTCTAATATTGCAGTAACATCTGTTCCCAGCATCCTACCGAGCCCTACGCATGTAGCCCTGTGCAGCTTTCAGCGTGAAGGTTGCAAAGCCTGCAAGCTAAAGGTTTTTCCCATTGCCACCGAGCTGCCACTCCTCTGCACAGGGCTGGGTGGTGTAACAGACACCCAAGCAGCATGAGCAAGGCCACATTACTTAAATCATATTGCCTCGCATTACTTCCTGCCCCGGGCTCCTGTTAATGACCCAGGCAGGAAGGATATTAGGGTGTTGCTGATCAGAGGAGCTATTTATGGAGCCAGTCATGTACATGATTATACAGCGTCATGAGTACTGGCTGACATAACTGGAGGGAGGCCTTGTGCCCAGGGTTTAGCTGCGGTGTCCCTCTGTCACTCCTGAATGCTCTGCTCCAACTCGGCCATTGTGCAATGTGAACTTCCCCCCTCCCTTCCTTAAAAATATCAGTTTTCCTTTCCCACAACACTGCTCTTAGTTTTTGGAGCTAACAGTAAGGGGAGGAGCAGCTGATAGCAGAGGAGACAAGGAGGAAGGTACTCTCCTGTTTTCTATTATTCTGATCAAATCTTATTCCCAAGACATTTAGAGAAAGAGGGAAAATAGCAGAGTTAAGATGAGAGTATGCAAAAGGCTCATATCGAGCCATTGAAGACCCAAGGGACAAGCAGCCACGGCCCAGCACGTGTGCCATCGGGCACATTTTGGGGTATGGACTGATATGTTGGTGTTTCTGGCAGTCCTGCTGAGTGGTCACCATCCTCCCTGGCTCTTCCTCAGCCCACAGACAGTTCTGGCCGAGGGTGCCTGAGGTATGGCTGCTGAAAATGCTTCCCAGAAGATCTTTAGCTACTGCTCCGATCTCTATTAATTTAACCTTCGAACTGCAGAAGCAGGACACCACTGTAAGGGTCTTACTGGGCAAGGACAGAGTTTGAATGACAGTAAGTCTTTGACTGCTCCTTAGCTGAGCTGCTTTACACTGCACAGACTCATTGCTGGTGCCATCATCACAGGGGTGGCCCCTTCACGCTTAAAACGTGATTACTGAATCTTGATCCTTGAGCTCCAGAAAGCTGGCATGTACGTCTTGGCTGCTGGCCTCTTTGGCAGGAGGCGAAAGGGACTAGTGTGTTTGCTGAAAGCCTGTCTGTTCAGAGCCAGTCAGTAAAGCAGCCCACCGGGTATGGCAACATGGACACAAGCTGTTCCAAAACCTGTGCTTCCTGACTGACGTCAGAAGCAGCTCTGCGGCTGGTCTGAGGGCCAGGGAGCCAACTCATGGAGTCTTTCCGTTCCTGATGGCATCCATATCCTCCTCATAGTAACAAGAAGCATGCTCAAACTTGGTTATAGGCTCAGAGCAGCACAGGGTCTGGTGCCAACCTCTGTGGTGTCCCAGCCACTGACATGGGGATCTCCTTGTGACTGTAATCATCTGTGAGTCTATGTCAGTGCTCAAGTGCCTCCTGTTGACTTTGCTGTCAAAAGGAGTGGTGGCACAGCTGCTATCAGGGAAGTGATTAATGTCCTTGGAGGTTTCAGGTTGCTATATAAAGCCCTTGGCTTTGAGCCTATGCTCCTGGCTGCGTACTTGGTGATGGTGCTGTAAACCTAGCTGTGCTTTCTTTTCCTAGAAAATGTGCACCTCCAGCTCTCCCTGGCTTGTCACAGATTAAGTCCCTAAGTTCTGTGTTTTTTACATGGTCAGCAGCTGGCACTTTTGCAAAGGCACTAAGATTGCTTGAGGTCAAAGAGCAGAAAGTAGTCAGGAGGGAAGAATACCCCCAGAATGGAATAACCGTTCCTGGACCATGTGAGCAACAATGCGTAGTGCTACACACCTTTGTGCTGGGCTTTAAAAATGCAAGAGTGGCTGTTTGTGTTGGGCCCTAGCATGAGAAAGGAAAGGGCAAAAAGGGGAGAGAAACAGAGATGCATAAAGTAACATATAGAATCATAGAATAGTTAGGGTTAGAAAGGACCTTAATATCATCTAGTTCCAACTCCCCTGCCATGGGCAGCGACACCTCACACTAAACCATGTCAGCCAAGGCTTCGTCCAGCCTGGCCTTGAACACTGCCAGGGATGGAGCATTCACAACCTCCCTGGACAGCCCATTCCAGTGCCTCAGCACCCTAACATGAAAGAACTTCTTCCTTATATCCAATCTAAACTTCCCCTGTTTACGTTTTAACCCGTTACCCCTTGTCCTATCACTACAGTCCCTAATGAAGAGTCCCTCCCCAGCATCCCTATAGGCCCCCTTCAGATACTGGAAGGCTGCTATGAGGTCTCCACGCAGCCTTCTCTTCTCCAGGCTGAGCCCCAACTTTCTCAGCCTGTCTTCATATGGGAGGTGCTCCAGTCCCCTGATCATCCTTGTGGCCATCCTCTGGACTTGTTCCAACAGATCCATGTCCTTTTTATGTTGAGGACACCAGAACCGCACACAATACTCCATGTGAGGTCTCACGAGAGCAGAATAAAGGGGCAGGATCACCTCCTTTGACCTGCTGGTCACACTCCTTTTGATGCAGCCCAGGATACAGTTGGCTTCCTGGGCTGCAAGCACACACTGAAGCCAACTCATGTTCATTATCTCATTGACCAGCACCCCCAAGTCCTTCTCCGCAGGGCTGCTCTGAATCTCTTCTCTGCTCAGCCTGTAGCTGTGCCTGGGATTGCTCCCACCCAGGTGTAGGACCTTGCACTTGGCATGGTTAAACTTCATGAGGTTGGCATCAGCCCACCTCACAAGTGTGTCACGGTCCCTCTGGATGGCATTCCTTCCCTCCAGCGTACCAACCGAACCACACAGCTTGGTGTCATCGGCAAACTTGCTGAGGGCGCACTCAATCCCACTGTCCATGTGAGTGACAAAGATGTTGAACAAGACCGGTCCCAACACCGATCCCTGGGACACCACCCGTAACTGGTCTTCAGCAGGACATTGAGCCATTGACCACAACTCTTTGCATGCTGCTATCCAGCCAGTTCTTTATCCACCCAGTGGTCCATTCATCAAATTGATGTCTCTCCAATTTAGAGACAAGGAGGTCATGGGGGACAGTGTCAAACACTTTGCGCAAGTCCAGGTAGATGACATCAACTGCTCTGCCCCTGTCCATCAGTTCTGTAGCCCCATCATAGAAGGCCACCAGATTGGTCAGGCAGGATTTCCCCTTAGTGAAGCCATGCTGGCTGTCACCAAGCACCTTGTTGTTTTTCATGTCCCTTAGCATGCCTTTCAGGAGAATCTGCTCTAAGATTTTGCCAGGCACAGAGGTGAGACTGACTGGTCTGTAATTCCCCGGGTCATCCATTTTCCCCTTCTTGAAAATGGGGGTTATATTTCCCTTTTTCCAGTTGTCAGGAACTTCACCTGGCTGCCATGACTTTTTAAATATGATGGCCAGTGGCTTAGCAACTTCATTTGCCAGCTCCTTCAGGACCCGTGGATGGATTTCATCAGGACCCATGGACTTGTGCACGTTCAGATTTTTAAGATGGTCTCGAACCAGTTCCTCTCCTACAGTGGGCCCAAGGTCTTCATTCTCACAGTCCCTGCGTCTGCCTTCCAAGACTTGGGTGGTGCAGTCAGAGCCTTTGCCAGTGAAGACCGAGGCAAAGAAGTCATTCAGAACCTCAGCCTTCTCCAAATCCTGTGTAGCTAGCTCTCCTGATATCTTCCTGAGGGGGCCTATGTTGTCCCTAGTCTGTTTTTTATTTGCTACGTACCTATAGAATCCCTTCCTGTTATCCTTAATATCCCTAGCCAAGTTTAATTCTAACTGGGCCTTAGCTTTCCTAACCTGGTCCCTAGCTTCCCGGACAATATTCCTGTACTCTTCCCAGGCCGCCTGTCCTTGCTTCCACATTTTGTAAGCCTCTTTTTTCATTTGGATTTTCCTCAGCAGCTCCTTATCCATCCAAGGAGGTCTCCTGGCCCTCCTGCTGCACTTCCTTCTAGTGGGAATGCAACACTCCTGAGCTTGTAGCAGGTGATCCTTGAATAGCAATGAAGAGTCTTGGGGCCCCCTACCCTCCAGGTCTAAATTGCATGGAACCTTACTAAGCAGGTTAGCCTCTCTGGCTAAACTGATACAAGGAATGAGACAAAACCTGAAAGCAGATGTTTGAAATGGGTGCAGACTTAGCTTTGAGTCATGCAGGGACTAGATTGCCACGGTCAGGCCAAAGAGTTGTTAGGGCTTGCTCTGCTTGGCCTAAGCTCTCCTGGGAGGGCTGAGTTCCTGGTTTGACTTTGGCATGGGACATGTCCATAAAGAGGATAGGTGTTTTTCCTTAAGCAGTGTCCCTGTTCAGTTGTGGTGCAGAAAGGAGTCTTCCTTCTGCCTTTAAAATATCTCTGGCCCCTTATCAGCTCAACAGGAGGAGATGAGAATGCTTCCTGTGGATTTTCCTTATCTCTGCCTCCTGGCTGTGTAAATAGCTGGTGTGGTCTGGTTATTCATAAGTAGCTACTTCAAGTCATCTTACCAGCTAGGAATGAAAACATATATTGCTGTGGTAAAACCCATAATGGAAGAATTTGCCTCATTTGGTCTCATCTGAAGGGATTTTAGGTTTTGGCTTTCACAGATCCAAAGCTATGGAGGCTAATTAACCAAATTGCGTGTTCTTGTATCTTTGTTTCTTATATCAAAACTACCTCATGATAGAGCTGCAGCCAGCTTAACATTTTAGAAATGGATGAAAATGGAGCTGAATGTATGCAACTAAGGGTCAGAATGGTGCCCACTACTTGATTGGACCAGTACTTAACAAGCAGCTACATCTAAATAGACCATCTCTTGCTGAGGCCTGTCCAGCTCTTCACCAAGTCAGGGGAACTCTGATACGTTGTCATTTGAGATGTAAGAAAGCAAAGCCTGTTATCCTGCAGTTTACAAACACAAGGGATAGCATGCTTTAGGAGGCCTTCGCAGTAAAAAGGGAAGGTAAAAATACATACAGGACTTCAAAAAGTACCCTTAGAAGACACAAAACATGCTCTGACTTTATGTTCAAGAGTCCCTGAGGAACTTCTGAAATTCCATCCATCTTGAAATTTTGCTATATTTTAGTATTTGCAATATCTCTGCCTTGCCCAGGCTGTGTGCTGTATTCATTAGTATATTGAGCCTTTCCTGACTGGGAAGCCACCAGGGGTTGAAACACCACTCAGTTTATGACTGAAGCTTCCCCTTGCAGTTCCTCTGTGGCAGCAGTTGGCAACACAGATGAAAACCTTTCTGTTTCTCCCAAGACTTGCACTAGCTATGTGGGCACTAGAGAATGGCATCAATCTCCTGTCTATTCTTCTTTTCCCTCCCTAACATTTTTCATCTTTAGTTTCCAAAGAAACCACAGGATTGTTCACTGCAACTCTTGTTAGTTCCCCTTTCCCCCCATAGCTTCGGAACGTGAAAGCTAGTTCCATCTGCCCGTTCATCTGTGTCACAGCAGTGGACGTCTCACAATATGCTTCTGTAAATTTAGAAGAACTGATAGCAGGAAGGAGAGGAAGGGCACATGACAATACTCTCCTGCAAGGGAAATCTGCTTGAGCCAGTAGCAGTCTGCAGGGCAGTCACTCCACAGCACAAGCTGCCCTTGCCCACCCAGCTAGTGCAGGTGGGAGGATGCCCAGGGATGCCAGGGAAGGAAAGGAGAACTGGGATCCTTGTGACAGGAGGATGGGGTATTAAAAGGCACCCTCCTAGAACAATAGGCTTTCCTAGCTAGTTTTGCTGCTAGTACAACAGCTTGCCTGGCACATAAAATCATAGCATGGTTTGGGTTGGAAGGTACCTTAGAGATCATCAAGTTCCAATCCCCCTGCCATGGGCAAGGACACCTTCACTAGACCAGGTTGCTCAAGCCCCATCCATGTTTGAATGGAGAACAGGAAAGTGTTTGACTGGGGTGGTACTGACAAGAATTGTAAATATTGTTGCATGCTGTGGCTAGCATGTGGTCTGGGCTTTAGCAGGGCCTAGAATATGGTGACACAGGTACCTCTAAAAATTATCTGTGTTTGCTTAGGAATCTACTTGCATATACTCCCTCCTGCAATGTACATAGATGAAGCTTTACCTCTGGAATCTGCTACTGATACATAAATTCCAGCTGCCTCCAAAGTCCCCTCCCCATTTCACATCAAAATTTATTGCTCTATTCTGCTGACTTAAGTGCTGGGTCTCAATTTTTTCCTTAATTTTCAAGTAGGTTGTTCAAAGACATAGTTTTCACTGCTACTTTTAATGCCATTAAAAAGAGATCATCGGAGGAGAAGGTGGATATATTAAAGACTCCTGAATTACAGTGCATCATTTAGAGGTAAAAACCTGTACAACGTTATTGCTTTCTAAGTAGAAAACTTTGATACTTATGGTTCATTCCTTCTTGCCAAAGTAGTAGTTACTGATGCTAGGTATTTCCTTGACCCTTCTGTACAACACAAGGACGCAAAGCAAGAATATAGTGCTTTATCTATAGAAGAGTGCTATATCCAGAAAGGGCTTTATTACTACTTTGGTCTTAAGAAATGCCCTTGTAACACATTCTCCAGCTACACGGAATGTGTTTATGCCTTCTCTTTTTATTAACCTTTGTTTTGTCCTTCTGCTCACAGTTTTGCTTTTGCACATTAGCATGGTTATATTTGGAGGCGAGGGAAATTAATTCATTGCAAACCTAATAAGAGTTTGATCTATGATGACTGCACAGAGAGGGGCAAAAAGAACAGCTTGTGCCACTTTCCTGCGCAGGAATGCTGCATACATCATGGGAAACCGTCAGCGTGGGTGGAATGCTTCAGCTTGTTTGTCAATGTGAAGTACTCTGAATAGTGTCATTGAATGTAGAAAAATCCTTATTTTCACAGGGCAAATAATCCCTGGTGTTTTCTTAAACAATGCACTAATATGGCCCTTTTTTGGCACACAAAGACAATAAAGCAGAACTAGTTGCTGTAGCCCTGCAAAGGCAAACAGTTCATGCACACAGGAGTGCAATGGAGGCAAAAAGGTGGATTGCAGAGGGTTTATATGGATACTTAAAATCAACTCTGAAAGTGGCTCAGCGACACTGTACATAGTTTGTTGGGACCTGTAACCTTATGCACCCACATCCAGGGGGAACGCAAAGCTAAGGTGATCTATGTGTTTTCAGGTTTGCCTCGGAAAAAGTAATTTTAATTAGTTCAAAGTAAGAGGTCTTGAATTACCTCACATTTACCATCGGGAGAGGAAGCAAGGAGAGCCAGTCTGCAGATAGTTACCATGGAGCAGGTGGTGTATATATATATATACATATACATATATATATATATGAAAGCTTGTTACCTTGTGTGTGCTCTTACTTCACAGTAGATGAGCTTGCTTCCATTAGCAAATCTGAATCATTTTAAATCCTTAAGGGGTGGGAAAAGCTCACTGTGTATTTGAGTAAATATAACATGAAACTTTGCTTGCATGCAAACTTCCCCTTCCTTTTCTGGCTTGATTTTACTTGTTGCTTAATTGTACCACCAATACACGTTCATTTCCAGAATTATTCTTTTGGCTTCTGCTTCTGCCATATGATCCAGCTCAGTATGAAGCAAAGAAGTAGGCTCAAGATGTTAGTACTTGACTATCTGGTGTTCCTTGGCTGTTCTTCCAAAAGGGTATGTTTGGGCAGGTCCATTTGCAGCATGTTTGGCACAGAACTGGTAGGCTGGGTGGCTGGAGTTTGGGAAACCTAGGGGAAGAGCTATATATCTTATCCTATCCTGAATGCTCATGTTGCATAGAATAATTTCACAGGCACAATCATGTGTTCATGTATTAGATGGTTGTATTTATGCAGTGTCGCTATTGTAAATAGCTGGTGCAGTGATCTAGGAATACAGTCCTTCACGGGGATGTCAGGCAAGACTAAGTCCAGGTCAAGTCACTCTGGAAAACATGCACTGGAAGCTATTGTTGGGTAAAAGTCTGCTATACTTCAAATAATTCTTATAGTGGTGCTGTACTTCCACCAGTTGAACTTTCCTGCTTGTTTTAAAACAGGTTCAGAAGAGGGTGCCACAATGGAAGATGTGTATTTGGCATCGGTGGAAACAGACCGAGGCGTGAAGGAACAGTTACGGCTTTATGACACCAGGGGTCTGCAGGAGGGTGTAGAAGTGCCAAAGCACTATTTCTCTGTCGCTGATGGCTTCGTTCTGGTGTATGCTGTGACCAGCCTCGAAGCTTTCCAAAGAGTGGAACTGCTCAAAAAGGAGATTGACGTCTTTAGAGACAAAAAGGAGGTAAACTCACGGTGCTTAACTGCTTGGCTCATAGCTAGATCAGTGATAGAAAATTAAGGTTGCAAAGCAGAGAGTTTGTTTCTTTAAAACTTGCATACAAAAGAAAGTGAATGTACCCATAGCCGTGGGCAATCCAGCAAAAGGAAGCTTTCTCATGCTGGGGAAGCCTAATTCACATGCCATGCAAGTCATGCAAAAGAATGTGGGGTTTTTTTTCCTCCTTACTTCATCTACTGAGCTAAAATTCAGTTAACTGAATGCACCAGCCAGGATACTTATGACTAATAAAACATATGGTCTACAGCAGTGCAGTTCCTATGTTTTTTTAGATATTGTACATGGGAAGTCAAGTGCATAGAATAATGTTACGAAGGGCATTATCTTTGTTTGTTTTGTATTCATGTACTTGATGGCTTACAAACTAGTGTAATTGACAGTGGGTCTCCCAGACATTAGTCAATTGGCAAAGCAGCTTTAATGTATTTTAACAACCATATTGAATCAATTCAATTGTGTGAAATGACTGCTCTATTTTCCCTTAGAAAGCAGCTAGTGTTTTCAGCTGACAGTGTTCCAGCTTAGCTAAACAAATATAACTTGCATGTGGCATTAGCATTATGGCTTTTCCTACAGTATCTTTATATTCTCGAGTAGTTTTCCTGGTAAATGTCTTTAGCCTACAGCTTTCCAAATGTCTGGTTTATGCTGTTAAAAAAATAATAGAAGCTCATGAAGAATTAATTGGATAATGGTAGGGGGAGACTTTCCAAAAGTATATCTTGTTCAGTACTGACAGCACTTAGGGTGGTGGAGGAAGGCAGGCTCCAAGGCTGACAGCAGCCAAATGTGCCGTCATGGGAGAGTTACATTAGCTTGTAGGGCTGGTGTGAGCTGCAGGCTGTCACATATAGCAGGAATCTGGGAGTCAATCACAACTCCCCTGCAGGGCTAGGAAAGGTGGACAAGCAGGAAGTTTTGCTCAGGTGCTGTTTTTTTTGAGGGCCCCATGAGTTACTTTACAGCATGTTGTAATGCAGACAGCGAATCACAGCCCGAACAGGATCCATGTCTCTCTCTCTTCTGCGTTACCTGCCAGAACTCCTCTCTTGTTGCACGCAGGTATTTTAGAAAGCAGCCAATTTGTTTATCCTCTGGCAGAGCTTAAAAGTTTTGATCTTGACTAAGGATGGCATGGTTGAGAAAGTGGTGCCCACAATAAGCTGGATAAATTAGTTTTATTTCTGTGATTTACAGTCGATATAAAATAGGCTTTGAAGCATAGACAGAAGGTGAGCTCAGGAGTCCTAGCTTAAAAAAGCAACAGCAGGCTCAAAGCTTGGGCTGTGTTAGAAAGCATCCTCAACTGAATGAGGGATCTATCTCACATGGCGCTTCTGAGCTGGCAGAACTTCACCTTGTTGAGTGACACAGTCGCTTGTTGCATGGTGGATGACAGCACCGATGGCTGGTTCCTTGCCTCTGCTCTCCAGCACCCACCTTAAAGCCTGGCCAAATTTTATGCTAAATAGAGTTTGTGTTCTCTCATACTGACAGAGTTTAACCATAGGTAAAATTCAGTTGAAGCATGTGGTAAATGCATATGAAGATTTTAGCTTCTTTCAAAGCTTTCTCAGAGGGAAAACGCATTTTCCCAAACACCATGAGCTGCTATAGAAAGGAAAGGAAGCCTCAGACCTCACAGGAACAGGACAAACACCTCTAGCTGCTAAAAAAAGACATCCTGTAATTAGCTTGATGAACAGGAAAGAGCAAGCAGGTGTGGCCAGAGCAAAAACCCCAAAGAAGAATTTGTCACTTTATCTTTGTCAAACCACTAGTGTAGAGTTGAGACCAGAGTTTGACCAAGGACCTTGAACTCTAAATATAAGCATGGCTTCCCCTAGGAGCTGATGCTGGTAACATGTTTTTAGAAAATGGTTAATGTAAATAGCAGGAGCAGTAACTGTAAGTGGCCAGCACCACCTTCAGCACTTCCTAGAACTGAAGTACCACTGAGCTCAGCCACACTGTACTTCCTTGGTGATACAGAAGTCACTGGATGGATCATTACAGCTCAGGCTGTGTTTTGAAACAGCTGTGATGCCCTAGTTAGCTAACCAGCTGCTCTTGAAACTGCTCTGAGAGGATGGTGCTGGTGCTTATCTGACCCTTGCAGCAACAGAAGAGTGTCCCGATAGGTCCCTCTGGTGGCTTTCCATGCGTGCAGGAGTGGACAGCTGGCTGGGCTGAACAGCTCAGCCTGCCCGGGCTGCTGGCACAGGCTGCCTTCTGGCACAGTTGGCTTTATTTGTATTGTGGGCTTGGTTAAAACAAGCTGGGCAAAATCCACAGCTGTGGGGTCCAGGCTCTCTCTGCTGCCACCGCCTCTCAAGCATCTGCTGCTCTGACCTACTCAGATGTCATGTTCTTATCATTTGTATAGGGCAGGTCAGTTGCCAAGTAAATGGAGAATAGGGCTGTTTAACTTTGGCTCTCTTGGGCACTGCTTCCCTTCAAGGAACTGGGGGGGGGGGGGGGGGAGAAGTTCTGCATATCCTATGATTAAAACCAGCTCCCAGCCCACATGTAGATGAGGCTAATTAGAATCCCAAACCCTGATCTTCCAAACTACATACAGTTTATCTTGTGCTAGTGCTGAGTTAAAGAACAGGTCTGAACTGTGTTGCTACTTGCCTGTTGTTGAAAAGAGCTGTGAGTGGTGCATACATTTTGTACAAAGCTTACGCTTTTGTTTTGTTTGTAGGTAACAGTTATTGTCCTGGGAAACAAAACTGACCTCGTGGACCAAAGGCAAGTGGAAACAGAAGCAGCACAGCAATGGGCAAGGGCTGAGAAAGTGAGACTGTGGGAAGTGACTGTAACAGATCGGAAAACACTGCTTGAGCCCTTCACCTTCTTAGCTAGCAAACTCTCCCAGTCCCAGAACAAATCAACATTTCCCTTGCCTGGAAGGAAGAGCAAAGGGAATAACTGTGATAACTAAGCTACCTAAGCTGCCAGGTCACAGTCTAAGTCCTTTCTGTGCCATATGCTTCTCACAGTTTCACTTAAAGCAATAATCTCATTCAGCAATAAAATCTGCAAGCTTATCGCTAAGAGGTATCCTTCCTTCTCATGGACTTGGCTTGGTAAAGTCACTGGTGATAAAAGCCCTAAAAAGCATTTCATGAGAGGAGTTATCTTGCAGCAAGGGTTATGGAGGAGGGTAGGACGGATGGAAACCTCTCTAGTTGGAGCTTTGTGCCTGGATACAGCTATGTTGAGGGACAAATCAACAAGCTTATTAAGCAATCCCCCTGCAGAGCTATAGCCTCTAGTCACAAATAGTACTGGCTGCAATAAAGCATTCAGCTCTAAAGAGAGGATTTGTTTTTAATGGCAACAGTCCTTTTACCTTTGACTCTAAACAGGGCCACAGGGCTTTTTGATGCTGCAGGAGGCTGAGTTCAGTGTGTCGTTGCAGAAGGTTTTGGAGCAGGAGGAACTACTACCAGCAGATTGAGCTGCTGAAGTTCTGCTACTGTCTGAAAGATAAAAACAAAGAAAAAACCCCAAATCTTGTGGGAGATACTAGAACAGATCTACCCTGACAGGAAACTTGTCAGCAGTCTGGCAAGTAGTGCTTTCAGCTGAGGAATTTATTTGTACAAACCAGAGAAGCTCTCAGAGTGCTCATTAGCTTAACTGCGACCTGAAGGATGACATAGCTGTACGTGGTTTTGTTCCAGCATGTCCAGTACAAATCAGTCACATTCACATAAGTGATAATTTTGCTGAGAAACTAAACGGAGCAATTTTGTATGCAGGAGGTGCTGCCTGGGCTCTGCTTAGTGTATTGCATAATACTCCCACCTAGCCATTCAACCCAACTGCAGTAACCCACCCTCAGTATGAAGCTACAGGCTGGATAACAAGTGGTATTACTTTGTGAGAGTGTAGGATGCTGCCTTTTGGGTACATCCCCATGGCAAATGCCCAGAAATACCCATACACATGGCCTTGGTCCAGCAGCAGGAGCATAACTGCACGTGCTGTGTTTGAGTCTCCATGCTGGTAAACCTGTGATGTAGGAACCTGCTGTTCTAGGTCAGCCTGTCAGTGAACTAAACAAAATTGGATAGAGAGGGACAGAATGAGCAACTGTTCACAGACCGGACAGCTTTCAGCATCTAACAACCTCTTACACTAACTGATAATAGCTTTTCTTTATATATGAATAGGAGAGTGGAGAGAGGGAGTGAGCTGAAGTTTCCCTCATTGTAATGGAAATACCTTTAAGTTGTTGGAATCTGGGACTTGAGTTGCATGTTATGGGAACTACTGTTGCAGAAACTCCTTGTTGATAGCTAGGCTAGGAGCAAGGGAGGAGTTCATTGCAATGTTAAATCCTATAACCTGACCCAAAGGGACCAGGGGTTGAGATTGTAATGGAAATCCATTTTCCACTAAATTAATATTGTTTTGAATAAATATTGAGAATTTCACTGTAAGCCAGCAAAACCATGAGTAATATTTGCTCTGTGATACCATAACTGCTAAATAGAAGTGTGCTTAATAATCACAATTAAACTGTGTGCTTATAGCATTACTCTTTCTGAATACTGACACATGAAGTCCATCAGCATTAATGATGTCAGAGCAGCATTACAATTCACTAAAAATTAAGCAGGATGCCTACCTTTATAATGAAGGTAAACAAAGCTGTTTATGTGCTTTGCTCAATACAGTTTGGATTGCTGCGGCCAAGGAATGAGATAAGAAAGCAATTATGAATGAGCAAGCTCCTGTAATGCCCTGCTAGAAACATACAATTGTTTCCATTGCAACACTGCAGCTGAGTAAGCACTATAACACAACCTCCCTCAACTTGGCTAGTAGTAGTCATTGTCCTCAGTGATGCTGCAGAACAACACTCCCTCCTCACTCATTTCCTACCAAGCACACGTGTTCTTGAGGCTTCTCCCTACGCAGAAGACACTGCATCTGCCTGCGCGCTAGGGAAGCGGGGTGACTTCAGAGCAGCAGTGGTTCATCTCCTTGCTGCAACCTCTCCCCAAGGAATTGGTTATGCTCCTCCTCTTCAGCTCTGTAGAACCCCTCTTTCAGAAGGGACTCAGTTCAGCTTTGATCAACCAAAATAAGCGAAGACCTCTGCTAACTGCACATTGCCACTGAAGCTGACTCTTGAGCCAGTAGAGTGCCGGTTGACAAGAACTGACTTAAAATGTGTGGAGATGGAAATAACGGAGGTGACTGGTTCCTGTCCAGTTCTGCATCCTGCAGACTTGGTGCCCATTCAACTGCCAAGACTGATGTCACCTGTAGGCTGCCAGAGCTGTATTGTACAAGATCAGCTGGGTCACTTGCTCCCCTGGACACTCAGGACTTGACAATGTGTTAGGGAAGGCAAGAGGAAAAAGGATCGTCTGAATGGCAAAGGCCATTTTTCCAAAGAGGTTACAAAGACGCAAACATGTTACCTTTGATTTGTTTAAATTCATTAGAAACAAGTAGAAATAATTTTGGGCATTCACATAAACAACCACTACCCACTGTTTTCTTTCATAGGCTTATTCTGCTGCTTTTTACATACTCAAATCAATTTTCCTTTCTAAATACCATAGTATTTTATTGACAAGTGGTGGAAAATGTAGCATCTCCTCTGCAATCCACACACAGTGGCTGGTACCAAGTAAGAATTAAACTCACTGTAGTACAGTTTTACATAGGGTTAATAAGTAAAGTACATAATATAATGTAGTAGCTAAAGGGCAGAATATGTATCTTGTTCTTACTATGCCACTGACTCAAAACCTGTCCTAGGTCACTGGGATCACTTCCCTACTACAAAGCTAGACAGTCCCTTCACAGGATAATGGAGAAAAATTACTATAAAACAGAAAAATAAATCAGTAAATTGAATCATTTTTCTCTGTTGCTTTTAAACTTCTATCCTGCTGAATAAACTGTGCTGATCAGTCACCCCAAATCAGCTCCCTCCCCATGGCCAGCTACAACAGCTAATTTAGCGTGTCCTGGTAGCACAAAGCAAGGAGTTGACAAAAACCAACTGAGATGAAGCCATTTATCTCTTCATTCAGTGAAGGAGAGGAGGAAACTGTTGCCAGAGATGCTCCCGGTGTGATGTAATAATGTACCAATAATTTTGATAGGCTGAGCCAAGCAGCTGAGGGATCTCATACACCAAAACACACCTTGTGTCAAAGGACCACAGCTGAACAGAGGTTTACACAACCACCCAGCAAAGAAAGGGTATCTCTAATTAACAGATTACTTTGGGCAGAGTTAGATTTGAATGTATATAGATAGGAAGGAATATATATAAAATATATACAGAATTTACTGTAAAATACCAAAACAAATATGAAATTGCAGATGACCACATAGCACTCAGAAGAATGCAACAATGTGAAGTACTAGTCATGTGAAAAGGCATCCGTACTTCCAGCCTTTATTTTAAAGGAACAGTCAAAAATGCTGTATCTACAACTAACTGCACTGTTGCTACACACCATAGCGTAAACACCATGTCTCCAGGAGATAATCTCTGTTAAGTAGTTAAAGGATCTACAGATTAAGTCTCCTTTACTCTCCTTTAAGGTGTCTTCTGCCAGCTTAAAATAGGTGATTCCTTCTCTTCCAAGTGGGAACAGACCACTCCATCAGAAAAACACAGAATGGTCTGGGTTGGAAGGGACCTTAAAGATCATCTAGTTCCAACCTCTGTGCCACAGGCAAGGACACCTTCCACTAGACCAGGTAAAACCATGAAGATATTCTCTTCTTCTGCACCCTAGCCCTAATCTGAACAGCATCTTGGAATTGAGGGTGAGGTCCCAGCACCTTGGAGCTGTAGTCTTTGTGGTTCACTGAACCCTAAACCTAATCTGAATGGCATTTTGGCATGCCTAATCCTAATCTGAAGGTCATGGCAGCTCCAGGAACACTGGGGCTGCAAAAGGCATGCTGAGGGGAGCACAGCACTGCCTAAATTGCTCCGTTAACACCTTTAACAGGCTATAATTTCCTATTGTAATCCTCAAGCATACTGGGAGATGCTGTTCTGGAAAAATGACAAAGCAAGGCACTAAGCAGAAATCTTGTCCTCTTCTTTTTTTTAAACATCTTTTTATTAGCACAGTAACAAATGCAGACTTAAGTAGCCCACAACATACAACCAATCCACTGAGTGACTCCTATTCCACGCCTTACAATTAAACAGCTTAAGGTATTTCACTACAGGTTGCCGTAAATCCTGATTAAGACCTTTATTCTTTTCACAAAGATAGATTGGCTTATAAAATAATAACTAACTACTTCTCATTTCACATATGAGGCCATACATCCACCTCTCCGTAATCACAGATCATGAGATGACAGTCTTTAATAAGGATTGTTAAATACCAATGTGCCCTCCATAGGGGAAAACAATCCCAACATCTTTTTACAAAGAAAAAAAAGGGAAAAAGAAACCAACCCCAAACCCAACCCAGAACATAATAACCCCCCAAAACCTAAACGAAACAAAAGGCAAAAACAGTGTGTAGAGTCTTGAAAGGACTTTTACATAAATGTCAACATATGTACCTGTACAAAATTAAGCTGTTTTAATCTTTTACATATTGCAAGCAAACTGAAAACCAAAGAAGTCTAGGAAGTTTACATTCTCCTCGGTACTATATGTGAGCTAATATTGCTGAACTAATTACAGTCTTAAAATATGCTATTCCCAATCCTACCTGTCTACTGTAGCAAGATACCTTAAGTTACAACAACAAAATCTTAGGAAATAAAAGACTGAATAAAATCTGTTATAGAAATACCCTACTCTTTACCAGCACCCTCCCTCCCCCCACCCCTTCAAAATCATAAGCAGCTCTTTCCATCACAGACAAATAATGTAAGAGTTTCACAAAAATCTTATTTATGTAGCATATCTTTTGGTCCATTGTCTGGCCATTCTGTCATGCTCTGCTCTGTTAGTCATATACTGAGTGGCAATACTTCCAACCAGGGGGTCAGCTGAAAAAGAAAACAAACCACTTATTTCAGACAAGCTACCAAATAA